AGGCAAACAAATAAACCATATCTCTGTCGATTGGACATTCAAGAATCGACCAATGATTGTTTGTTGCTTGTAATATATGTTTCCATGATTTTCTGAATAGAATTAACTGTATCCACAGCTCGTCTTCGTTCTACCTGACCTTGCGCTATTTGGTGGGTTTTCAGTCCGATAACGAGTTCGCGCTATTCGATTTCGATTCCTATTCCGAATACTACAGTTGGCGTCGCGGCATGGAGTTGCGCACTATCGAATCCCTGAATCTACATTCACATCCGTCTGAGATTGAAGAATAGGTCAAACGTTTCGATCTCTGGTGCAGCCTACGGCAGAACGGAAAACAGGATCAATCCGTACTATTTCTCACGGTGGGTGGAAAGGAAATGTATTCTTTGCTGAAGAATCTCGGTTTCCCCGACAATCCGGCCAAGTTACCATTCTGAAACATACCATACTGAAACAACTGCTTCTTGCTCACGTGATTCCTGTTGATTTCCAAGCTACTGAGAGGGCAAAATTCAATTTGTTGGTTCGTGCCGAGTCAATGCCCTGTCGAGATTTCATCCTGTTGCTCAACAAACAGGCTTACAAGTGTAACTATGGAGACAGACTGGAGGAGCAATTGTGTAATCACCTTATTGCAGGCATTACCAATAAGAATCACCAGAGAAAGTTGCTAGGAGGATATGTGAGCAGCATGATGATCTCACTGCAGCAACAACTCGTGAGTCGTCTGTGTTATTTCAGAGTAGTTCACGAAGCAATAAACCCGGGATGCAGTCCAAATCTCCTCATAATCAGACGACCAATTACTTTGACCAGAGGACCCCAACCACGAATATCAATTGGTGTGTGTCGTGCGGTCAATTCCATTTGCGATCCAACTGTCGATTACGAGATGCAAAGTGTCATTCCTGTGGTAAAGTTGGCCATATTCAGAAGATATTCCACCAAAAGAAATGCAATATGATGAGTACACCGTGCTGTCAAGAAGAAGTCAACCCAATTTATACATTACGGACAAGCAGTTCATTTACAAGGATATTACTTTCGAATCCTGAGTTCGACACAGTTTTATTGTGGATACCGGCAGTGTTGGGTCCACCATTTCACGCGAATCTCTCAAACATGTATGCCCAAATGCTACCTTAAAACCGACCACAACACGAATCCATGGTGTTACTGGACACCTTCTTCCGCTAATGGGTGAGACAATTTTGTCGATTCATTCCCAGGACAACAGTTGTGTGCCCATTCGATTCTTGGTGTCACAAGACAGTCCGTCTATTCTTGGATTGATGGCGATGAGAACGCTTGGACATTCCTTATCCCTACATACCAACGAACTGAAATCCGATACAACTGAGGAAATTCGAAAGCTGGTAATCCGATGTACTGAGAATGCGGGAGGAATAAGCGTTCCTCTGGCAGTTTTGGAGGTCGACGGTGGACCTGTATTCCTAAAGGAGCGTGTCTTACCATATGGACAACGCGAAGGTGTGCTGAATGCGATCGACTGCATGGGGAAGACTGGTGTTATTTCCCGAATGACGTCATCAACATGGGCAACTCCTATTGTTATCGCGATGAAAAGTGATGGCAGAACTTCGAGGATGTGGTGATTACCGATTGACAATGTGCAGCGACACAGGACTTCATGAAATCCCTACACGGTTGTCAGTTTTTCTCCAAAATCGAGCTAGCAGATGCCTATCTTCAAATTCCATTACATTCAGATTCACGGGCATTTACGACGATCAATACACCGTGGGATTGTTCCAGTAAAATTTCCTCCCGTTCGGTTTGCATGTATCATCCTGAATCTTACAGTCCACAATAGATCATGTTGTGTCTGGGTTACGCGGTGTTATGGCATATCAAGACGATGTGACTGTGTTTGGAACAACGAAAGAAGCACATGATAACAAGTTGAAGAAACTTCTCGAACGATTCATGGAGAAAAATGTGCTCATCAAACCATCTAAGTGCATGTTTGGAATGATAGAGTTAGAGTTCCTGTGATTCACCGTCTGTTCCAAAGGATATCGACCGGATCCGAACCGATTCAAACCTTTGGTGAATATCCAATTTTCGAACGATCAAAATCATCTACGATCGATTATGGGATGCCTCCAGTATTATTCACGATTTATTCCTAATTTCGTCACCAGGGCCCGATCGTTGTTTGTCGCGCAATCCGCAGCAGACTGGAAATAGACCGTGGACTGCGAAAGAACCCTTCAGGAATTGATATGGAACATCACTGAACATCCACTCCTGGCATCATTTTCCCCATCAAAATCGATTACACTGGTGACAGATGCGTCCGAGGTGGGCATTGGTTCCGTGCTGGAGCAAGAAGGGCTTCCTGTTATTTGTATTTCCCGATTGCTCAACCATGCGGAGNGGAGAAGGGGTGCTCGCAGACCCAGAAAGAAGCCCTGGCGGTGTTTTGGGCTGTCCGGAGATTGCACAAGTATTTGTTTGGATTACACTTTACTATTGTGACGGATCATCAGGCACTACAATTCTTACTCAACCCCAACAAGTCTATCGCTAAAGCCACAGCCGCCATGATTCAACGATGGAGTATTGCACTGGCAGCGTACGATCATGATATTATACATCGGTCAGGGAAGACGATTCCACAGGCAGACTTCCTATCCAGGCACTCACGCTCTGACGCCGCAGAGAAATGTCATTTTGTCGCCTAACCATCACCAGTCTCCAGGG